TGACCGGCAAGGGGGGAAAAAAATGAAATCTATAAATTATTTAATGCCACACTTCTGTCAAGGTTTAAGGAGATTCGGTACATCTCTTTAAGGAACAAATCCAAATAAAATACGGAATTGTTCTAAAAAAAAGTTAAATGTTAAATTGGAAGGAGTCGATGGGAGGAGGCGGTGGTTTACGTGGTGGCGTTATTTGTAGAAAAGTTAGTTTTGATTTTTGCAAATTTGCGTGTCAATGCGAAATAAACTTGTGCAGCAAAAAAAGATAACAAAAGCATACTGGCAATACCGCATTTCTTAGACAAATCCCATTTTAAATATTTTGATTTGTTAAAAAGCACAAACAAAAGAAATCAGGCTTGCAACATACGTACCGTATCGATGTATACAAATTCCTTCATTGGCATTTTCACTCGCCTCCAAAAAACGTCCACTCGCAATCCCCCCCCGCCCTCCGTACTTTACCCGATGGTGGCTAAATTGTGGGTGGTTGTTGGGCTATTGAAAATAATGTAATAGTTAATTAAAAAAAACACCTTTGAAGTCTTAACTGGAAGAACGTAATGAAATTGTATAAAAACACATTTGAGGCCAGCATTAAATTGGTGCAATTCTGATATTGGTGCAATGCTAATATTGATGCTATAAAACTAGAATACCCCACCCCCAATACAAGCAGTCCTGGGGCATCCCCCCCCCCCTCCACAAAAACCAGCACTGTCCAAGCCTGGCAACGTATGGTCAAACGATCGCCATAACAAACATAGCAATAATGGATTTCAAATATCTGTACATTATTATTAAATGGATCCGTGGTTATATAATGCACTACACGCCATGCTAAAATGCATTCCCTTTCGTCAACTGTTTAAAGGAATAAAATACCTTTAGTGTTGTGACAATGGTGGTTTCTTTTCCAGAACGCTTTCGGACTTACATCCCCAGGACCGTCATTGACCAATGCACAAAGATACGCCCGTGTACAAGTGGATGGGGCTTCACTCCTTCAAGTGAACTTGTAAGAACAGCATGGCTAGAAATTATTGGGAGGCGATGTCCCTCTCTAATCGACTAGTTTCCCCTCGCTTTACGCGGCTTCCGGTTTGTGCGATTTCGCGCTGCACGCATGTGGCCAACCTATTTCTACCGTAAAATTCGCTGTTCAAGTGGTTGGAATTCACTCACCGGCCAGACGTACGACAGCATTGTTTGCGTCCTGCATTGCCCGCTACTCCTCGGGCATGCAAGCTGTCTCTTGCGTTTTAATTTTGCCCCCCCCCCCCTTTTTATTTTGGAACGCATCTACTGCATAAAGCGAGGGAAACCTGTACTTAAGTCAAATTCATGAGTTTGCAAAATACAAAGTTCTTATCCAGTCATCCTATACACAAATAACGTCTCCGATTGCTAATTGTCCAGTCTCTCTACAGCTCATTTTCACCTTTCATCATGGTCCATCATGCATTTATAAGAATATTTCCCTTAATTGTCATGGCCCACAATAGGTCACCTGCTTGCAAAAAGAAAAAGCTTACCTGGAGCTATAGTAATCGATGCAAACTTAAAATTTAAGGTTGCATTTTAATAGGCGCTCAATGTTAAATTATTTTTTACCCTATCATCATGGTAAAAAAAAGTGTGGGGGGGGGGGGACCCGATCTTGGCCAACTGGGAGGGGTCCAGTGATTTTCAACATTTGTACTGGACATAGGGCATGGATGAGAAATGATTTTACTGTCATTGTCCGATACAGGAATTTAGTGTGGAAAAAAATAGCACCAGTGAATGTAAGCTATGAGTTAAAGATCCTGGGAAACCAATGCAGAGTATGTGGCATTGTGCACCGGTGTAGCTCACCCACGAGTGTAAAGCCCTTCCCCAAAGATATACGTGGCAATGGTTTTCTTGACCGTGCATCTTAAAAAACCGCACGAAACCTGAATGACTTGAACACGCAGTAGGTCTTTCGCGACCAATATTATCCACGAGGTGTTTTTTAGGTTAGATCGCATAAATAAATGCGTCGATAAACCCACTACCACCCCACATAACCAATTAGTAAGGTAAGCAAAACGTGCCAATTCGTTGGAGTGTAAAGTCACAGTAAAGTACTCGAATTGTAAATGTTGTGGGTTTACACTCCAAACAGACCGGTGTGCTCTACTCGTAACGAATTGGCATGTTTTTTTTACCATAACAAACCTTACTAATTGGCTGCATCGGGTGGTGGCGGGTTTAATGACGCATTTATATTTACGCGATCAAACCCAAAAAAAGCTGTACCCAATTAATTACCCGAGACTCTCTTTTAGCGGGGGCGACTGGAGTACGATTGCCATCTCACGGCGAGAGCAATTCGTATCAATTCGAAAACGCTCGTACTACGGATACTAGCATTTACACGACCAACGGACGTTAACTACAATAACAGGTCAAGTAAACGGCGTGGATTGTGGCCTTAAGAATAGGGAGACCAGAGTAGAGGGGGCCCTACGAGGTTGATACACTATCCAAAAACACAGCTCACTAAACTTTTTACGAGGAAGCATGTTAGTAAACGGTATGAAAAAGTTGCCGCTGCGGTGAACTTGCACAGTAACATTAAGGCAAGTCTCTAAAATATATTTCTCTTCTCACTGACACTTATTGTGAATGGTGAACTTTGCTTTCTCCACCAATGCCAAAACGGTCCCTGAAAATATTCAGTTTAACGTGTGACAGCGCTTGAGATCCACCCCCTTCAAACCCTGCATTATACATCGCATAGGATGGACACAAAACGAAGAGGTAAAAAAATAAAGAAAATATTAAACATTTCAGAAAAAAAACTCAGTGCGTCGACTAAAACAATTAGATCCATAACATCAACGTTAATGTCACTGTGAATGAGATGACAAAACATGTCTAACCCACACAGGCTGTTGCCTGGCTCGCTGTGTTTTGTAAAGCATTTCTTAATAAACATAATTCATGTTAAAGTATCACGCAAGGCAAAAATGTTAACAAACTTCTGATCCTCACATTCCTATCATCAAGAGTCCTTGGGGCGTGGTTTTGGGACTCAACAGATGCTGTGGCGAAAGTAAAAAACTATAGAAAATTACAATGAAAACAACTCAATTGGCCCACATTTCAAAACAATACAAAAATAATCATGAGGAACCAATACAAAAAAAAACATTAAACTCTACAGGTAAAGCAAACAAAAGACTTGGGTTAGGGAATGACTTACCAATGCAGCGTATTTAGCATAAGAAACATTCAATGCCTCCAAAAGCGCAACTGCTTCGCATCAACGTTAATGTTTAAAGTTGCAGTTCCTTCAGCCTATAAACCATCATTTTTCACAGGATATCAAGACAATCAAAACAGTGATGGCCAGAAAATAATACGTGCGTATAAACAGTGTTTTCAGGATTCTCACAACAGAAGGCCCCAATTCAGTCACTAATAACTTCCAAAAGAATAGCAGTCAACCGGTCTTCTTAACCATTAAACTCAATTTAATTTACTTGCGTCCACTCAAGTTTAAGTGGAAACATTGGACTTCTCCAAATTATGGTAGTCAATACTGCCAAGGTGGTAACAGGAGCCTGTGTCTTTTACGCAACTGAATTGTAACCATGTGTTGAAGTCACCAGACCACAAGGTAACACACACTGGAGGCCTGCCGTCAGTACGTGCTTCCCAAAGACAACGTTTGCAATGAGCATCGGCCAAATTCGGTCCAAGCACACGAACTTTCTACGTGTTATCCAAACTGATCGAAAGCCTAGCAGGTGATGGCCACGAGAAATGTTGAAATTATTTTCTTGCTTCGGTACAAGAGGTTTGCTCAAACGCACCGCAAAAGAATTCATGACTGTAAAAAAAAGTCAAATGCTAATCAACCCAGAAATAAGGGGGAACCCTTGGCCCTTTTCACACGAGGTCTTTGGGACAAAAAAAACGTTGGCAAAGTGGATGACGAAACGAAAGCTCTTTTGAAAGTGTCAAATTTTAAATTGCAATGCCTGCTTTCACTCAACATGTGATTAAAACGGTGTCCAGCGATAGCTTTACAGTCACCGTGCAAAATATATTTACCCGAGAAAACTGACGTGCAACCACGAGAAATGAATCCAAGCTCACGAACTATGACATGGGAGCACAAACATGACTGAACCATTGTCGCTTTTTTTGTTCCATTCGTATATTATACTCGGCCATTGCAATACCAACATACACATGCTCGATTCTCCCATTAAATAAACTGACAAGGTAACTGGTCGGTAGACACCAACAAAGACAACTTTCATATGGCAGCAACTTACGGTGTCCAAATAAAGAGTAAATTGCTAAATAAATATATGAAGGTATTTACTCGAACATTAATATGTTGACGGTTTCTAATTGTATCTTTCAGGTCAAAATATGATGCGTTTAAGTGGGCCTTTTATGATTTTTTTAAAAACAACTTGGCTGTCAAACACACGTGCACAAAACACGTTTTGTAGGGATTTCTTCTACACGCGTTCCCAACGAGTGTTGGGTCGTGCGCAAAGGTGAAGTTACGTCATTTTGCAGAGCACAAATGCACAACGCAAACGAAAAGTACCGCCCAATTGAAAGCATCGAGATTCCACTGGCATGGCATGTACTAAATTGACTAGCAGAGGCTGCAGAGGTCACGGCACATTAAACAAGCACAGAAGAAAGCAACATTTATTGAGGAAAAATCGTGACAAAATACAGTAGACTCTCGATGAACTGCACTTCAGTCAAGCCGAGTTAAATTTTATTCTGCAAGACACTCAAAAAAAGGAAACGTCACTTCTCCTCAGCCCTTTAGTTTGTGCAGCCGTTGCCCAGAATACCCAACCCTCCCCTCCTCCCTGTCTGCTTCAAGAAAATCTTGATTTCACTTAAGTCAATTAACCATAAAAACGTGCTCATCCACACAAACTGTCCCTATTAGGTGCAATTAATGGAGAGTCTAGTGCGGTTAAATTCAGAGGACAATCTTCTTCCACATCCCATATATTTTGCCTTTGTACAATGTTGTATTTTATACATAATGCGAGTCACGGTGCCCAAATGTAGAAAAACGTTGCGAGTTGGTAGTCATGTATTTTGGGGGACAAATTTGCACATCTAGTTACAGGTGGTTTCATGATAAAAATAATAATTAAAACTTCCATGCATGTCACTCATTATAAAGACCAGGTGTATGGGACAACCTTTTTGTGAATAATTGGGCTCAAATGGAACAAATAGCAAACAAAAAAAACCACGTGGCAGATCACACAGACAATCCTGGCAGGTACTGTTGCTACGGCAAATACAGTTGCCACTTTACGCAGAATGCAAGCATGGGCATCTTTAAACATTTGTATTGGCACAAGTGATGGCCAGCGAGTATTCCAAGGCAGTCAAAATGAAGTTCATGTTGTATGTGTAACGAAATTAAACGATATATATAAAAAAACACCTTAAAATACGTAACCAAAGCACGATGGAACGGAGATCAGAGGTGAGCGGACAGGGACGGGACGATGACTGATTGGCTGGAGGACGTCACATGGTCACACCGACACGATTGTTAACGGCACAACCAACATCTAGAAGAAAAAAACTGCACAGGAAAAGAGAAAAAACAGGGGGGGGGGGGGAATTTGTTACGTGGAAACAAAAGCAACAACACAACAAAAAATTAAAACACTCAACGGGTACGACCTGGCAGCGAGCCGTTGCAGGAGTTGACTAGCGACAATGAAAAAAACCACACAAAAAACGTAATCTTTTGGACTGCCACAACCAAGTAGAATCGTTTCACTTTATTAGAACTGCAATGTATAGTGGTTTAAAAAGGCACATTCCACTTTAGTAAGGATATACTTTAAACTTAAGTTTGGAATGTTATCTTTTATTACGAGTGCTCATCTTGTGCGGCTTTGAATTTCATCTAATAGCTTTGTGCTACTCCGTAAGCTTATATTTGGGGGAAGCCCATCTTCGAAACGAAATTCAGGCATAGCCATCTTCCAGCCGAGTCACAAAGAAAGTTAACACAGCACTGGTGGCACTTGTGTCAAATCTTTCAACAAGCACATTTGAAAACGTTAATTTGGGTTGAATATACGAGGCTCCATCTCAAAGCAATCACCACCGCTAAACAACTTGTCCTTCTGGAAGGACACTGCCTCTCCTGTTGCAGCGGGGAACATTAACGAGGCGCAGAAAAAAAGTTGTCAGGGTGATGTTAATAACGCGATATCCTGTCGCCGTATTAAATCCAACTGGGCAGCGCCGAGATGGCATTTCTCAGCAGGCCACGTGTCCCTGCAGCAATGTTTATGGGTGCTGAAAATAAATCAAGGCTGTAACAAACGATATCCTGCTTTCATGCACCGTATCATATCGCAAGCGGAACTTTACAACGACATCCCTGCACAACTTTCAAGTATGCCTTTTTTTACGTGATCATGAGCATTACTGCAAATACTTTAGCATAGCAATCAATTAGGAACAAAGTTAAAAAGCACATTGCCATGAAGAAAAACTGTTACAAAAAAACATTCATTTAGAGGTGAACAGGGCATCGACGAAATGGGGCCAATTATAATTTGTTAACATCCATTATCGCAAAGTTGACAATTCATGAAATGGTGAATTATTTTTACAAGAGCTCATGTTTTTTTTACCTGATATGCACCTCATTAAACAATAATCCATCGATTAAAAAAAAAGCAACACAGTAAACCAAACATCCACAGGGAATAAAATAATCTTTGTTGCTTTGCAGATTTCTTTGAAGAACATGCTATCGAAATCAGTCATTCCTCTTTTAAACTATCAAATAATCTGGCACAATATCTAAATACAACACAACTGTTACCAACTTATAAACTATTTTATCGTGCAAACATTTCCCACTGTTTAAAGACAAAACTGTAATACAATACGGGTAAAAATATGTACGTTATGTACACATGTGCATGCCAAGTGTCAGTCATGTAATCGCTGGAACAGGAAGCATATATTTAAACAACCAGACAATTCATCACCTTTAATGATTGATCAGTCTGTCCAAATCAACACAATTTAATTCTAACAATATTCAGCATTTCACAACAGACACAGTTGCAATGCTTAACGTGTGAATTAAAATAATTAAATCACGGCTTTAAACGTGCAAACCTGCTTCATTGTGTTGGTAAATCCAGACCTCAAATGGATTTACCATTTTGTATGTACAAAGCAGCCTTCCACCACCAATTTCCACTCCTCCGTGTCATCACTTATACTTCAACGAAAGCTACGCTTATTTTACAGACACTTTCAAGAACAATGCGATTCCCCAGAAACAAAGCTACAGAAGTGTGTAATGAGTGCTGTTGTACTGCACTATCAGCTTGCCATGTACGCTTCTGATACCACTTCTTCTGCACATTTTTGCTATACATGAATTACCCTTCCAGCTTAGAAACTGGTTGGCATTTGAGAGTTCAGAATTTTAACGTTTCCCATTCCGATTGACGTACATGTACGTCATTAGCTTTTCTTACCATCCCATTCAAATGACGTACGTGTCTGTTCCGATGACGAATGGAATCAGGGAAAAAAAAAGACTATCGGACCTGAAGACGTACCGAGGCTCCCACAAGGCCATGCGGGAGGTCGTGTCACTACAGTTCTCTGCGGTGAGTACAATGTCTTTAAAAGCAACGGCGCTACACCTCTAAATAAAATTAACGCATACAGCTTGCACATGCCAAGATTCAGCAGTGAACGGGACACCCACCCTGCAACTTGCAGACGTCTCAGAAAGGGTTAATCGATTCAGATTTGGAGTAGGTAGCAGGCACACTAACACTGCATCACCAAACACCCTACTCGTCCAACATGCCAACTTAAAATCATCCACCATATATTACCAAAGGGCAGGGCTTTATGCAAACATTGGTACATCCGAAACTGTCCCAGTGTGACAACACAGCAGTGCCATTATGGCTGGGCTGGTAAGCCATGCCTACATTTAAATATTTACACAAGAATCTTATTTGAATGCTTCCCCCTACGTCTATGTTTTCTATGTTTGTTGAACGTCTTTTGCACCATACGTAGCCAACCGTGCTGATCAGTGGTGCTGCGAGTGATATTATCATGATCTATCAATTCCCCAGATAAGAAAAATAAGCACAATTTAACATGGAAAGTCATTAACGGCGTTCAATTCACAAGCGTTTCATTAAACAATTTTTTTATACTTTTAAGAATGCATCCATTTTCAAATGCCCCGCGGTCACAAATTGATCGCAGCGTTTTAATGATACTCACTAGAATCATGCAATGGTGTTGCTGTTGCCTAAAAAAAAATCTGGAGGGTACGGTACTTGCTTTGTAGTACCAATTAGTTTGTGGTGACACCAACTATAAAGCCTTCCCCAGATCAACCTTGTTAAATGGCTCCAGCTGAAACCATGTTCGTTTTTAAACACTATTTGACTGCTCACATCTGTCCTGCATTGCAACTTCGAGTTTTAATTATGTTTGTTCTCTTCTAACACGCAACTTAGCTCGTGTCGCTGCACCTGTCCCGTCTCATTTGAATTTCTCTCGGGCCAACCCCTTGCCTCACCAAGTGCTTCAAATTGTCTTACGACTGAACCTCTCATTCTATTGCACGTAAACACTTTACAACCAGGATCAGTTCTGGCCAGGCACCCGATCAGGTATTTAATATTTGTTTGCACTTGTGCTGCTTCCGAGTTCATATTATGTGCGCATTGCCGAATGTGTTACAAGTGCAAATTCATTTTAATTTGCGATGTATCAAGCTGAAATAAAACTTTTCGTATAAGTCTGCCATCTACTGTTCAATGTGCGTATAATTTTGATCATTTCATTAACCACAATGTGAGCGCAGTTTTAAGTTAATTATAAAACAGCATTATTACTTAAATAAAATCGTGGTGCATCCTTTCAGAGGCCAGTATCAATCTCTGCGATAGCGAAACTTCTGTACGCAAGGTTCTGCAATTGACATTTCTTCATTTGAGCGTACAAAGAAGAGAGCTGGAATGTAACGGTTGAAAGAATAAACTATAAAGTGAATAAAAGCGTGTTTTGAAACCCATCGCCCAAGACCGATATGCATCCAAGACAAACCAAGTAATCTCCTATGGAAGTGTCATGTCAGAAAGCTATACAAGCGAGTCTTCATGGGTTACCCATATTTAGCCTGCTTTGCTTTTTGAAACATTATTCTACAAACGAGGGGTTTCAAACACAATTCGGTCGCACATAACCCACATTGTGCTTAATGCATCCAATCATGTCAGATCTAGAATGCGTAGCAGGTTTTGAGCCTGGCTTGGGGTGGGGGACTGCCTAGGAATATGGGGGGGGGGGGGAGATCATAGGCTTGGGCAGAAACGTGGCCAAGCATATTGCAAACACAATATTTGAATTCGTGTATCTTGTCGAATCGGAGGCTGAGTGTTGTGGGATTTGCCGGTTACCCTTGGTTTCGTCCTGCATTCCAAACTGATGAATGGTATTGGCAAAACATTCCAATACAGTAGAATCCCGCTCAACGATGGTAAATGGGGTTCCACGAAACCGGTCATCAAGTGATTGGGTCGAGTTTTAACGACACATTTATATATTTACGCGATCTAACCCAAAAAACCTCTATTATGGATATTGGTTGCGAAAGCCTACGTGTTAAACCAAAAATTAAATTAACCGATGCTTTGGCTTTCAGTTATTATGTCCATAATATAACTTAGAGAGAAGGGCTTTAGTGGGCATGATTACCCTTAATAAATAAAAATCCATCTTGTAGCTAGTGCAAAAAGGCAAATTTCTTCATGAAGATTTTTGATTCATAGGTTGCCACTCATATGATCATTCAAAACGCAGTGCTGCAATCACTTTTGAAAGAGTCAACAATTTGAAAAGCGTATATATTTTCCAAACATTTTCAAATTACTAGTATTTAATTGTGCATATTTTTCAATCAGGGGATATTATCAAAAGGCATGTCCCATCGAGGTCACTCCACACCAAATCAACCAAGCATATATTTCGTGAACCCCGATTTCCATGAAATTTGACTCGCATCTTTGTTGTGAGTCAACAAGGGAGGCTACAATCAAAAGTTTGATCAATCTGATCTCCTATTCCACCAGATGTAAAGGTCATCAAAATTTGACCCAAACAAGACCACTGGGAGCCCTTTCACATTGCGCATTCTATGTGCCTACTCTAATTCTTTGGGGAGTTGACAATTTTCAATAAAGCATTGCCCTCCCAATGTCTCAGTTTCTTTTCCTCACAATGAAATGTATAGAGGTCTTCAAGGAGCATCAACAATGAGGCAAGTTTTCAGAGCTACAAAATGCGACTTCCCGGAGCATCGCCACAGCGCCTTCTTGTGGTCACATTGGGGGTATGGATATGAAGGGGAAAATAAACCCTCACGCATGATTTCCCAAACTCCCAGTCCTCGGAGGATCCACCACACGCTACGTCTTTCCAGACGTTAAAAAATTTACCGCCAATTTTAAACGCAAATTAATTCGCTCCATGCTGCACGTTCCCGACTATTGTGAAAGAAATCCCACATGACGCGCTAAGGAGTCAATGCTGTGTATGCGTCGCGGGGATCTCAATCTTCGTCTCAAATCAGCTCTTTTAACGCAGGCGGCATTAAGCAATTAACGTGTGGGTAGCGCGTCGCGTATGCTGCGTTTAAAAATAATCGGGTGTGTGCAGCATGTGGAAAGAGTTAATTTATATTTCAGTGGGGAGTAAAATTGGTAAATGCTGAAAGGAGCAGCGTTAGCGGGGGTTACAAGTACTGAGGTTTTGGACACCCTGGCCCTAACAAAACATTTTTCTTGCAACAGAGCTGCAAGGACAATGCCTAAATAAATGGTACATAATTATAACTTTCTGGGATGCATCGTCTATGTAAGAGGTGGAAATTCAGTCATCAAGCCATTTGAAAAATGCACAAAGCACTCCACTATCATCTTACACCCATAATCTTCAAGTAAAACCTCATATGATTTTAAAGGTCACAAATCAGGAATGCTTTACTTTGTTTGTAAACAATTCAGAACAAATATAGTTTTGATAAACTTTTCGTGTCAATGCTGACGTGCACAAATTGTGGTCTTTTTAAGTTGAAAATTAAATATTGTGTTGTGTCAACAGTCAGCAGGCCGCACAGTAAATTTCCACCATTACCCACCCAGATGAAGAGTAAAAATAAACCATTATAAACATTTAAATGCAATCTTTTGGCATTGTTTTGCTCAAATTTTTTTTTCCCAGCCACTCCAATGGCTCCTTGGCTGCAAGATCCCAATTTATAATCAATCTTTTTTTTTTAAACTAAAGTTTTGTTGTTGTGACAATGTGCACGCAACGGTTTTGGCACCAAGTTTATAAACTGTTTTTTTTTTTTACCAGGTAAGGCCCACCGAGCTAAAAAGCTCTTCTAAGAAGCGACCTGGCCACAAACGATAGCTCAACGAAGTGACTTATCACGTGGAAACTTAGAGCAGCGAAATACCCAAAACGCATGTTGATTCTAAATGTGGAGGGGAAATACCGGAAGACCCGGAGAAAAATCCACGCGACCACAGGGAGAACATGCAAACTCCAAATATAGGAGGTGTCAGGGTCAGGATCGAACCCACGACCTCCTGTATACCAGGCGAGGTAGTTAACAACTCGCCACCGTGGCGCCAAAGGTGCCGAGCACACTTACCCGGGCAAGCACATGCCCCGTCAGTAGGGCTTGCTGTCATTCTTGGAGCGCTTGAGCTGTACTTTGAGACGCTTGGTGCCAATCTGAAAGCCGTTCATGGCTTGGATGGCAGCTTGAGCCGAGATTGGATTATCGTAGCTCACAAAACCTGTTAAAAATACGCACGCGTGGTTAACAAAAAGGGTACAGCTAAAAATGTACAATGAATAAACGAATGCAGATAAGCATTTAGATTCAATGTCTCCGTCATGAAAACTTGAATATACGCGAAGTATTTAAATGCTTGGCACCCTGATGCTTTGTTGCAATTTTTCGCCTCATTTGAAATGTTTTTCTGCTAAAACGCCACCATTCTTGTAAAAGTAGATATCAGTCAACAGTACTAACCTACAGTTAAACCTCTTAAAGTTATACTTCTGTAAGCCAGGATTCAGGGGGGTAGAATCGCCAAAAAAAACAAAACCACCGACTGTAGATATAGAACAAACAGGTTAAAAAAATCACGAAAAAAATTAACCCGTAAAAACAAAGTTTTTCACTATAAATCCTTTATATGCGTGGCGGCTAGAGTCCTCTCGTCCTCTGGCTTGAGATGGCTGCCACCTATGGGTCAGATGATTGCCTGCCACCATTAAGCAATTGGTAATTAAATATAATTTTTTTTTCCTAAAAAGTGTAAAGTTATGGAAAAAAAATTCCACGAAAATTAATTGTCACGCACAACGAGTCTGTGTGCAAAATGTCAGCTCGATTGGATCATGGGAAGTGGGTTAAAAAACGACCGAAAGATTTGCACGGTCGTAAGCGCGCAAGCAAGCGAACTTAATATAAAGGATTAAAAAATACTGACGTCTACCTACAAAAGACAAAGATCAAGATCACCCACAAGTGCCATTAGCGAGCACCTCTTAAGGTCGGTAAGGCACACGAGGATGGGGGCGACCAGGACCACACCCGGTCGCCAATGCTGATGTTTATACACCACACCAGATCCTCGTTTAAGGCCAAGTCGACTGAAGGAAGGCCCAGAACTGGTTCAGTTATATTGGCTGCAAGCTAGAATCGAACTCGGGTCACGGGGCTCATAGTACAGTCCGCTAACCAATATACTCCCGATCCCCAATGCATAGAGTAACGCACATTCAAATAAATGGGAGGAAACCCACCAAAGCACTTGCTGAGGTTTGTCTGCTTGTCCACGAACACCTTGGAGGAGACAACAGAGCCAAACGGCATGAACGTCTGCATGAGGTCCTGATCCCCAAACTCCTGGGGTAAGTGGTAGATGAACAGGTTGGCTCCCTCAGGACCTGAAACACACAAATGAAAACCGATACAACAATGCACCACCAATAAGCCGACGGTCATCGCGATAACTGCAAGATTTGCACACGATTGAGAAACTTATAGGACGTACGTCTGAAAGAGACACATTCCAAAACATTTTTTTTATCAATGTATAGTTATTTACAAAATGATATATACATCATACATAACTGGTACAGGATCATTAAGTCATGATTTTGTCACTTCACTACACAAACCTAGCACGAATATTGGTCCTTTGCTATCATGATGTTCTGTTCAAACTCATTAATCCCTGTCAGCACTAAAAATAATTCACATCACCAGCTACATGAATGCCTCCATTTCTTCAGTGGCAGATAATACTTAGCTCAACCAATTCAACTTTATTTCATTAAAAAGGCATATTTCTTCAAAGCAAGGGCACTTTATGTAAAATTATCCTTAATTACAAATGTAAAACCGTGCAATTCGAATAGTAATTAGTTTCCATCTTTTTAATACTTCCATCATAAAACTGGGATCGCACTAGAAATTAGTACTCTAGGCCTTGGAATTATTATTCACCCCAAGCTCTTGTTCTGCTTCAACATCTCAGCTCTGCAGGAACTCCCACCTGTGCAACATCTCCCATATCCATCATTACCCTTGTTCCATGAGATGCCAAGACCCTCAGTAAATATCTATATATATCACTTTTCACCTCGACTATGCAAGACCCGCTTCTACGGCCCTGTCGATACTTCTCCTCTGATTAGCAAAGTTGGCTACGTATGGTGCGAAAGAAGTTCGAAAGTTCAGCCCACAGGCAGGGCCCAAAGCAGCAAAGGGTGGGGCCTAGAGGGGCAGGGCATACATGGTTTTGCCCCCACCACATTTTGCCTCTCTCGTATATTTCTACGTCGCCTTCTCGCGCTCGACGTTCTCAATCTTTGCCATCTCTCTGTCCCTTCTACTCCTTGTGCTCAATCACGCTGTCGCTCCTTTTATCCCCCCCCCCTCTCTGAAAATGAGTGAACACCAATTTAAGGAAATGAAAGTGAGGAATCAAGCGCAGCAGGCAAAATATTGTAATGCCGCAGATGCCGCCAGAAACCAATCCAGTCCCGTTAGTTACCTTAGTTATGAATCTATCCTAAGTTGCTTACTTTAAATCTCTCTTTATAGGTAACGTGAAGTTATTGTTTTTTGTTCTTTGGCTGTGCAGGGGCGTTGGCTTGCCTGTATCCCTTGCTGGGCTCCCTGGCTGAGCTACTCAGGCAAGTCTGGTAGAAACTAGATTCATTATGAAAGCAAGGGACCCTCATTGAGTTTAATGGCTCTAATGCGCAACTGTGTTGTAAACCAGAAGCAACTAATTCGTTTTAAAATGGGCATATCGCATTCCCATGATGCATTAACCATCATGATAGAGCTGGGTTTCCAAGGGCCTTGTGAATGCTGGTGCATAAACATTGGCAAGTCTATTAAGATTTTTCCCCCCATGGAAGTGGATATATTTACAGGCTTGCATGTTTCCATTACTATAAAGTTCAGTGCGCAACTTTCCTCAACAAAACTCCATTGCATTCTTCAAATATTGAAGCAATGCCACATTAACAAAAACGAAACATTAGCTTAACACGTAGGCTTTCACGACCAATATCATCCAACATACAGGTTTTTTGGGTTAGATGGTGTAAATATTTAAATGTGCTGATAAACCTGCCACCACCCGACACAGCCAATCAGTAAGGTTTGACACGTAAACAAAACATGCCAATTCGTTACTAGTACAGCACACCGGTGTGTTGGAGAGCAAAGCCACAACATTTACAATCCCAGTATGACGTTTCGCCAGTAATTATAACTATCTTCATCAGGCGACAGTCTGATTTGTGGATAAATCCTCCCGTTTTGTTCCTTAAATAGAGGGATAAATGTTATGGCATCACCTGGGATCACTTCTTGAGCGATGTGGGTTATTTATATGGTAAAATACATATATTATGCATGTGCATTATGCAAGCCCCTCCTGTCACCTGATGAAGCTATATTCTTTGGGTCTTTCGGTAAAGTCACGTACATGTATTCAGTGTTGAAGACTATGTTGAACAGAGCAGCATGGCAAATATTGTTTTAAGATGCAATACAACAGCAGAAAAAGCTTACATTTGTCAAATGTATCGCAGAGGGCACAGGTTTTCACTTGAAAAATGTTGTCAACTGTACATTTTTATCACGTGTTTTATTCTTGTTTTACCAAGATGAGGTTCAGATTGCAGCATGTTTCAGCCTTGGCCTATCAGGAAGTAAAGTATATTTTTCTTAGTAATATACTGCACAAGGTATGTAAACCAGGTATGCCCCTACAAAATAAACACATTATTTTCTAGGTGGCGCCTTTAATTCCCAAGCATTACGAATCACCTCTGTATATTCTTGGTTCTGTCGGTAAAGTCACGTAGAAGGGAAATAATAAAACTCAATATTATTTTATTATTTCCCTTCTACGTGACTTTACCGAAAGAACCAAGAATATGAATCCCTGCAGTCACGAAAGCTTTAAATCACCTCTATATGCTTGCAAAAAAAAGAAAGGGCCTCTTGGTTTTTGATCAGGCTGTGTGCAAGTGTGTTCACGTGGCCACTCATGCTGGAACCACTCACCTTCTTTCTGGCTGCCCATGGCTGAATGCTGCTGCTGTTGCTGCATTAATGAGCTCTGGCCATAGAGGTTGGGCAGGGCGGCAGCCGTGTAGTGCTGCATGCCAGAGTAGGCCTGCGACAGGGCATCCATCGTGCTGCCCGAGCCATTGGCAAGGCCACCGTTCAGGGATCCCATACCTGCGTTTGCATATGTGGAGACGAACAACATTGCACACGTACGTATCCATGCACGCAAACACCAATGTTTACCGACACACACACACACAAAGAATGTGGAGGTACATACAAATTAAAGCATGTGCAAGCAAGCACACAAATCACCAATAGATATTTATACTTGGGACCAGGATATATTGGCTGTTTAACAATTAAACAATGCATTGAGAGAGATAACCATACACAAGTCATAATAAAAAAAAACATCAGTCGGTGTGTCGGGAAAAATGACGAGGGCAAGCGCCCGTGTGTTGACAAGATTTATGACGGGAGCATCTATCAAAGAAAAATATTTCACCAGCAAGTGAGCCCATGCCGAGGCCAGAGGAGACACCAGAGAGGCTCTGCAGGGCACCCAGTGATGACATTGGGGTCACAGCTGCTGAGGGGCTTGAGGAACTTCCCACTGGGAAAAGTGTCAAGAGCAACAACAGGGGCTAGATGAGTGACATCAAAGTGCTAAAAAGGGGCTTTCTGGATGACTCAGGGAACTGATACCCATGTAAAGTACCGAGACGACACTTAGAAAAAAAACTCGCTTAAAAATCTGCAGTACAAAAATGGTACACTTTCAGTCAGTCACCTACGATTGCACAAAGAATTCGAAATTTAAGAACACCGGTGATAGACTAAATACTAGGCCATAAGACAAAACGGAATACCACAGCTTTAGGATTGTGTGAAGCCGAGTATTCTTAAGATGCCATTTGACACACTCCTCAAGAATAGTTGAATACATCTGGTGCCCAAGAACAAGTGTAGGCTCCCCCGGGGAATCGTCACAATACACAATGGCACTGTCAAATTATAATGGAGCCACCATCTTCAGTAACACCATATCCAAGGTAACCTGAACTCAGTATTATCTAAACCCCTGAAAAAAGAAATTTTGCAAAAAAAAACTCGTGAAACCAACAAATAGATAATCAACAGACCCTCCAAACCATTCCGAGTCAACTAAATCCAGAAGCCACAGTTTTTCAGGGTAGGTGGCAGTTAGCAGGTTGACAGCTGTACACGAGACTTGGGGTTTTAACTTAAATCGTAAGGCTGCATTTTTATAACAACCAGCCAGTTAGAATCCTCGAAAAAACTATAAACTGTGAACAAGCCCACAAGAGAGCTAGATAAATGGCAAATTGAAACTCATTCTAAACTTAGTAATTTAATTAAAAGTGCAGGACCACTTTGCACATGTGTGTGGAGTACTCACTTTGCCATTCCATACCTTTACAAAAGGGACAAAAGCAGCTCTACTTACCCAGGATACACAGGGAATAGCTCTGATCAAATGAGGATTACAAGTGGCCATCCCAGCAAAAACTTTGTTTTTTACATCTCACGCATTAATTCCTTAACCTGGAGTAAAAAAGCTGCTTCAAAGCTGGATGATGCCCCATTTTCTATCACCATACACAGCACAAAGATTTGCCCAGACAGTTCAGAATGCTCCCTCATTTAAAATAAAAAACAGGGCTCTAACAAGGTTCAGATTGTAGAGTCGCAAGAACGGCTTCAAACATAACGATGGGAGAATGAGAAACAATTAAATTGCCAGATCTCGGGCTGCTTGTACATCTTGGACGTGCCGGTTCATTCTGATGGGTTGAACCTGACCCCACCCCCTCCCGCCCCCCGCCTCTTGGTAGCATTCGCTTCCTCCTGATGGCGTCTACTCGTTTCTTTTCTTGCCGCTAGCCGCCGTTGAGTTGTTGCCATCTCCAAAGTGGACTGCCGCTTTTTGTGCCGAAATTTGAGGCGTCTCGCCACCGCTTGTCCCGATCTGCAGTGCTGGTAAGTGCACCATGAGGTACACACACCTCTCAAGCGTGCTCAATACCGCAACAGTGAAAGCACAGGGAGTGCAGTGGGGGGGGGGGGGGTGGTCACTTATTTTGAGAGTGACCCTTGCACGTCCACATACGTGCAGGCATGTTTAGCTTGTCAGCTAAGGCCACGAGTAATACGGGGGGGGGGGGGGCGGCAATATTTCTACAGCCAGCATAATATACAGCCCCTGCTGCGGCAGCCAGCAAAAGACTCTCTTCGAGTAGGAAGACCCCATACCATGCACTGCTCACAGGGTCCCGCAGACCCCACAAAAGCTTACAACAAAAGGCTTCTGGGCACATGGCCCAGAATCTGAAAACCCAAGATGGTGGCACCAGGGTCACGTGACAAAAAGACAGTATTGTGATGCTGCACTGGTGGGGGGAGCCTGTTTTAAACTTAAGATTTCTGAGTTGTGGGCTATCAGATGGGCGTTCAAGTCTTCTTGAGGATTGTACCAAATGACCACCGTTAGAAAAACATCTCTCTCGGTTAAAGCTTGCGTAACTAGGGGCAGGCACAAGATTGATTGAGAAAAGGAAACCCATCAGAATCTGAATGTGGAACCGTTACCAATCAAACGGTGTCAGTACTACAATTAGGAGGATTCATGTGACAGTAGAGCTTCTCCGCACGATAGACTCTGGCAGCAGAATTGAAAATTGTTAAATAAAACTGCATAAAACATAAAAGGAACGGCTTGAAAATGTAGTCTGAGCATTCATATTCAAGTATGAATCATGGGTTGGTTTGATTATATACCAAGAACAGAGATTAAAGGGGGTTAAGCATAGTTTATCACCGAGTTCAAGGCAAGTCTTAAAAACACGTGGACTATTTGTAAAACCAATTTCAACGTTAGTGGTTTACAATGTATCGTAACATCACAAGGCAGTGCCTGCAAGTATACATTTCGCATTAAAAGTCTTAATAATAATTTAAATTTATAAAGCGCCCTTAAACAATCGTTCTCAGGACGCTATGCATGGGAAGGCGGAAGGAAAATAGTTAACAACCAAGTGAAAAAGAAGTGAAAAAGATGTTGTAAGTAACCAGAGCATACCATTTTAAACAGATACATTTTTAGTCTGGATTTGAAGATTTGTGTCTCAGAAGTCCTGACCTCGAAGGGCAACAAAGTTCCAGAGTTTTATGTGCCGCAATTTCGACAGGCGTTTGCATTTTGCAATTGGCTCAAAAGTCGTTTTGGTCAGTATGCAGGCCAAAGTGTTCCCCCCCCCTTACCAAGTTCACAGGCTGTGTGTAAACAGAGGCAGCAAGCAGAAGCTAAGCTCAAATTTGGTGAGAGATCAATGTTTTATTCAACCTTGGAACATAGGCCCCACAGTGGTTTACTTTAATGAATTATTATGTCAGTGTCATTAATTGTGCACTATACATCAGAACGAGTGCTTTTAGTAACTCCCCGCAGAAATTACAAGACCGCTGCGGTAAAGATAAACATTGGTTACATGTAACATTTCCCAGTGGCTAGCATTGTGACCAAGCAGAAGTGTTCCCACTTTTACATCAAAGTGGGAGTGGTTTTAACAGCAATTATTTTTGTTAATGGTGTCACAAAACTGGATCCAAGATAATGGTGTATTCATGAGCAAAGTCTCTCACTTGGGCTGTAGGCTGACAAGCTGCTTTGTGACCCGAGGGTGCTTTGCGATGAGTGGCCCATGCCTACCATGGCCGCCAACGTGGCTAATTGCACAGAGTTCAGGCCTGCAAATGCATATGCAACGTAACCACATGCAGCGAAACCTACACAGCCAAATCATGCACCCCCCACCCCCCCCACTAAAGCAATGCGGAGCATGAGTGTAGGAAAATGTAAACAAAAGAAAATGTAATTTACACTTCCAACATTCGCTCAGTTGGGAGTTAAATCAAATAAAACCAATTAAAAGCCCAGTGTAAGAGATGCAAAAAACAAATGGAAAGGTTTACTCCAGTGGCCCAAATAAAAAAAAATCATGGGATAAATTAATCGATTTGTAGATGAAATAATAAATACAAATAAAGATTAAGCGCAGAAGTTACAAAATCCACAACACCAATTTTAACGAAGTCATGGCATACATGTGTACGGTCGCCTGCTCAAGAAACCACACAATATGCACACTAACAAAACGACAAATGTATCCAACACGGAGAAAATTATTACTCTTAATAACTGAGGTTCCATCACCTTAAACATTTTTACCACAACATGAAGATCATAACCACAAGAGAAATTCCCCACCAACACGTAGAGCTCAACGTACAGTTTTGACAGCGCATTATATACATCTGTACATCTATATGAATGCAGATTAGCGTTATGAACAATTAAGGGCTGGGGAAGGGTGGGGGTGGGACAATTACTCAGGCAAGGGGGGGGGGGGGGGAGATTGGAATGTGGATCGAAAGCAAAGGCATGGATGACAGAAGATCCACTACCATCAATGCTGTCATCCACCCCTTTGGTAGGAAGAGCAAGCTTTGCCACTTCCAAACCCCGAGACGAACACAGTGACGTGGCTATGTGCGCACGAACGTACATTCCTACCTTCCAAGTTTTGTAAGAATGCCAAAGCGAATGTTTATTTGCAGACACAAGTATTGAATGCCAAGTGTTGGACTGAAAATTTACCTGGATATGCGACTGTCCACCAGATTGCCTCCCGACCTCACCTCTTTATAACGTGTTTATTTAGGCCCACGCGGAGCTGGTAGAAAGCACATAATTATAAACTAATGATGGATATAATCTCCTTGCTGCAGTCAAAATACTTGACTTGTGGAAAAAAGGGGGTTGATGGGGCCCCAAATCTGCTGTCATGAGAACGTTTCAGAAAGCTCACCAATGATTATAAACAACAGACTGCACACGCGCAAGCCATCCAACACTCAGCACACGTGTATTTTTGCACCGAGGCTGACCTGAGACCTGAGGCATGCCGCCGTAGGCACTGCTCATTCCACCCGCAGAGGAAGCCTGCTGCAGTAGCTGTGGATGACAAGGGGGGGGGGGGGGGGAGGAGTCGGTTGGTAAAATTACGGTGGGCCCCATGAGCAGCAGTGTTAATAGCACACCGCCACTCCCAAACCAGTGCCCTCGGGGAGGATCCACAATGTAAAGTTAGACACTGCGCCTTTGGCGCCAAAGTGCGGTTGACTCAGCCATCAAAAGAAGGACCCAGAACACACTGGGCCGACAAAAATGGAGCAGTCATCCTCCGATGAGATGGACCGTGACGACGACCACCAACGAGATTTTGCGTGAAAATGTAATTACTCTGTAGTGACAAATGCTTATTTATGGAAAGCAAAATGGTTTTTTAAAAAGAATAAAAGCGGTACTTTTTTTTACAACTAAAAAAATGTGGCTCTTGTGCTACAATGAATGACCCGATGGAACTGTGGCAACGACTCTCGACAACCGAAAGGGTTCGTTAACTCTCTCCGTTTATGATGAGCAGCTGCTAATGATGCTGGTGGTGAAACGGGGTTGATGAAGAACTTGGTGAGGGTGGGTGGTCGTGATTAGGTCAGCTGTCGGGATTGAGGACTGGGTTGGCATTTCTATTCTGTTGCCAGACTTTTCCTAGGACACTGCCAATGCCCAGGTTTTGGTGGCTGTCATGCCCCGGTGTGCATGCACGAGTTGTCGTTTGTTGCGTCTGTGATGTCTTTCACCCATCGTTTAATTTCCTCCCATATGCAAAACGCTCTTAAAAACGATGAAAATATAAAAAAATATTTCAGCACTGAGCTATATAGCTCATTTTCAGAAGCAACCTGACCACAAATGATAGCCGAACAAAGCGATTTATCACGTGAAAAAGTATAGCAGCCAAGTACTCTAAACATATATCGCTTTTAAATGTGGAGGGAAAAACCGGAGGACCCAGAAAAAACGCACACGACCACAGGGTGACACACGCAAACTCCAAATATACAGGCGTCAGAGTTGGGATAGAAGCCACGACCTCCTGTGTACCAGGCGAGGTAGTTAAACATCGCCACCATGGTGCATTTATGGAATTGACCAAAAATCCCGATGCAGGATTAGTGAGAACAAGTATAACCCGTAAAAACAAAGTTTTTCACTATAAATCCTTTATATGCGTGGCGGCTAGAGTCCTCTCGTCCTCTGGCTTGAGATGGCTGCCACTTATGGGTCAGATGATTGCATGGCAGCATTAAGCAATTGGTAATTAAATATAATATTTTTGTCCTAAAAAATTCACTAACATTAATTGTCACGCACAACGAGTCTGTGTGGAAAATGTCAGCTCGATTGGATCACGGGAAGTGGGTTAAAAAACGACCGAAAGATTTGCACGGTCCTAAGCAAGCAAGCAAGTGAACTTAATATAAAGGATTTAAAAAAACCCACAAACTTGATAACTCAGTGAGGCCTTCCTAGACGATGAGCATCTTTTATACAGACGAAGGATAGCATTTTTCTGATGACAAGAACGAAGCTGAAAGAATCTTACAGCAAGGTACTGAGGGTTCAAAGTGGCAAGTCCTCCTCCGAGACTGCCCCAGCTGGTGGCGGCAGCGTTCAGCTGCTGCAGCTGCTGCAGCTGGGTCTGAAGCTTGCGCTGCTCCTTGTCCTTTTGAGTGTCGGCAAACTTCACCACCACGGCCGACGAGCAACCCTGTGAACGCTACGTGCATTAATTACGGCGGCCTACACCGGGCGTGAAGAACATAACACACAACCAAGTAAACACTGCCCACATTTCAATAGTGGAAATACTTTCAACTCTGCTTAAGAGAATGAAAGTTCTACGAGCCTAATTACTTTAGCAAACATTTGAATATTTAATTGCTGCAGTGGTGAAGAAATTGACTTTTTGGGGAAAAAAGTAAAAATTTTAAATGTTCAGTCCTAGATGCAAACAAAGCCTTTAAAACTCCAGTCACCGCATCGTCAATAAAACTGCATTGCCACTCCGATAATTAAAACACTCTTACTCTTTGGTTCTTTCGGTAAAGTAATGTAGAAAGAAAATAAATTAAATAATAGAATACGCATTTCGATTGCAACACAAGCAGTCGTCATCAGGTAGAACTAAATTTGAGAGAGAGACAAAACACAGACACAGAGACAGACAGACAGACACACAAGCAGATAGAGACACAGAGAGACACACAACATAGACACAGAGCATGTGTCTGCAGTCACGAAAGCTTCAAATCAAGTTCAAACACCCTTGTTTTACCTCCATAGTTTGGGAATGATGCATGCTCTTGATTGCGTTTTGAGCCATCATTCGTGTTGCAAATGTAATGAAGCCACACCCTGAAAAGACAAATCAAGTATTTTTTTGTTGAAAAACTCAAAAAAGTTGTCATTAAAAAAATCTTAAAACAATCACATCGTCGACAATAGCGACAACTTTAGTCTTCCTATGGATGCAATGATTCGACTTAACGCCAATGGTTAGACATTTGCACAAAGTGTAACATGTATTAGATAACACATGCAAGGTTAATGACATTTAAAAACGGTTTAAAAAATAATAATTAATTCTGAAATTCAACTGCAATCCCTAACACTGACAATTCATCAAATCTGGTTTGGGGGGGCGTGGGGGGGGGGGGCGAGGGAGGACAATTGTTACATGCCTAATTTTGCGCAGCAATTACACGGCCAATTATGACAATCAATTCAACTCAATGTTAAATGGATTACTGACAAGGAGTGACCCATGAAGGGACGTCATCTAGCAACTTCTCCAAAACGCGCCTTTGTGTCCGTGTAAAACTGTAGAGGTTACCCTTGCTCTGTCCATCCGTTCCCCGCAGAACACGGCACTCCTCGATTTGTCCAAAAGGGGAAAATATCACGCGCACGTCGGCTTCACTCAGCTGCTTGGACAGCATTCCGATGAACAGCTTTCTTTCCTCCACTGCAAACAGACCAGAAAATAAGCATGAGACGGGCTTCTACCCACACAACTCGATAACCTTCTTACCCCCACCCCTCCTGAACCATCTGTGAAAAAGAGCGTTATAGCTCATGGGATTACTCCAATATTAATGTATATATGTGTAGTGACATCCGACACAGTAGTGATTAATTAGTGTAGCGAGTCATTGCAGCGAGTCACTTCGGAGACACTAATAGGAGGCCATACACATTTATTCTACACTTTCCACAGTATAGGGGATAACTATATGCGGGTCAGGACAGCCGACACGTTGCCCGACCCAACACCGACGAGGAGGACGAAGACTTCGTGGACGACGGGCTCCATCTCCATTCCCAAACCGCAGCAGCCCTGACCCAGCGTCAGGGCCTCCCTTTTATCCTCCCCAGTGTGGTCTGGCTCCGCCCTCGGAAAGGCCCCCTTCTGAAACCGACTAGAAGGTTCTGGGCTCTGCCCCACGTGTCCCCTCCGTCACCTTTACACCCTACACCCGTGCCCATCACGTGCCCTACTGGCAGACCGGCCGCTGTATCCTCAGATGCCCTTCACTGCCAGCAACCGGTGCTACTCACCGAAGCGAGCCCTTCAATGTCACTACAATAGGAGTCTTTATTACTTCCAGCAAGAGACAGTGTTCAAGGATTCCGTTCACTCCAAGCGTCCCGAACTCTCTCGCTTTCCCTTTATATACTCGTCATGCCCCGTTCCCAAAGGTTTCTTGACCTGCTTTCCCTTCAACCTTCCATTTCTTCTAAAGGATTACAACCGTTCAACCTGTTAACCACTCAAGTTTTCCGCTCTTTCCATTCGTATTTCTCCTCCAATCCCTTCAATTCCCTGCCTCTTACCAATCCCCTTTCAGGCCCGTTAAACACCAGAGGACTTGATAATTGTTTTTTTACCCTTTTATCTTGCAACAAAACTGACACCTTTTTTTTTGGTGTCAGTTTTGTTACCAGATAAGAGTAAAAAAAACATTATCATATTTTGTTACTGGCAAAAGAGGTTCCAATGATGTAAACACCAGAGGACTTGTTTTACTTTCCGACTGTCCATGTCATGCACGCTGTGTCCATAACGTTGGGTGAGCATTTTCGGTTGCGATTGGATCACTACATATGTAGACCCTTCTTTCAAACCGTACGTCGCCAACCGCGCTTATTCGAGGTGCAGCGGATGGACAAACTAAACACAAAAAAACTGTTCTAAAAAAAAGAAATAAAGATTCTGATTCACCCGTGTTCTCAGCATTATTTGAGGAAAATCATGTAATGTGCTCAATTTCAGCTAGTATGGTGCCCAAATGGGTTGGCGTCATCACTTATATATACATTCAAGTAAATTTACTGCAGTTCTCATAACCGACATCACGCAATTGTGCTTCTAAACGCAATTTAAAACATACTTGATGATAATAGCATGAAATGTTTTCCACAACGAGCAGCTGTAGGCCAATGCTGTACTCAGAATCATTACAACGATCACTGCAATGGCCCAAGCAGGAGGTAAACATGTGTTAGCGTTCAAACGATTTCCAACTAATTCACAAAATTGCTCACACCTTCTCAGGTAAAATATATACGCTTATCAAACGCATTATTGTTTAAACTGACTATGTAAAAAATTGCCTTCTCCGTAGGGTCTTACCACTGGACTTTTCGCTGTCGGCTGGCTTCATCTGTATAGGATGATACATCTGAAAAACACACAATTTAAAAATTAGATGGCATCACACATGCAAGTAAATAACTGGTTAATTTTAATCAAATGCAATCCAGGTCTAGTGCCTCCCTTACATTGTTTCCGTGACCAAGTTACCAAGCCTCCCCGGGTAAGGGGACTGAGACAGGACCAGGGAAGGCCGAAGAAACTCATCATCATCAGCATGTGCCTTCATCAATCACGGAGTATGATGTCACTCATGATCGAAGAGGTCCATGTAATTAAGGATTACTTTTTTTCACTCCATATCTACGCCAACCCTTTGATAAAGGACAAGTCCTTAATAGTTTATACTAACCACATATTTATGAGAACTTACGATAGTTATTTTGACCAGCCACCTCAGGCAAGAAGAGCTGATGGATTAACACTTTCAACCTTAATTGGAAAGTGTTAAACAAAAAATCGAAGTGTAACGTATAAAGCAATGTTTGAGATTGGAAATCTGTAACATAATTTCCCTTTAAAATGATGACTTGGTTTTATGAATCAGAAAAAAAACATGGCAAGGCAGGGCAAAATAAAAGGTCATGACCAGGGTTGAGGACCAGGATTACTGACCCCAGGCAGAGTCTTGATGTTGTGCAGGGAGCTCTGGGCTTCAAGTGCAGCTTTGCGGGTGCAATATGTGACGAAGCAGCAACCTGTGCATTGGTAACATGCATAACGCCTTATACCAACAGCGGACATGAAGAGCATACAACTAGCTCGCTCATGTAGACATGAAAAGTGTGTTTCTAATAGATGTAATATTTAAATATTTATATTCTCTTCCACGTGTTTTTTGTCCAGATATTTTTCAGGAATTATTTTAAACATGTGTTTTCTATCACTTGCATGAACCAAGTAAAACATATTTACACACTATCCTCTCTCCACAGAGTACTGAAAACATAGGCCGAGGAAAGGGTGTGCTCAAATTTATACTTATATTTGGTGAAACCGTTTATATCCTTAACAGGCTTTAGGTTATATCGCGTAAATATATAAATGTGTCGTTAAACCCACCACCACCCAACAGCCAATTAGTAAGGTTGGTCATGTAACCAGAACATGCCAATTCGTTACCAGTACAGCACACCGGTGTGCTGGAGAGCAAAGCCACAACATTTACCAACAGTTGATCATGCATTTGGGGCAATACATTAAGAGCACTGAATTGGTAAGGCAACTGGCGAAACTTATGGAAAACAGATAAGTAAGATATTGTTTTTATTTCTCTAAAATTAGAGACCAATTATAGGATGGGCACCAATCACCTAAATTGATCAATTCTACAGAAGAATTCATGTCCACATTTCAAGCCGACCCGGTTAATATTGTGGGTGTATTAAATGTAAAACGACGTTCCGCTTGCTTCACAGCAGACACCAAATATAGCCAGGGACGGTCCAAATTAGTCAAATTTGGAAAAACCAAATACAAATTGCTGAAATGGAAAACCAAGAAAGCAACATCGACCCCCTACTGGCAGACCAATGCTGTGTCCACCAGGTACCAATGGGGCTGTCAATAGGGGGTCCCCACCATGTCCACCACCCACCCCCCCCCCCAGACTAAAAGAATATGCAGAGTAGTTTCGTTACATCATAAGCAAAGTATAAATGCAAGTACTGCAAAGGTCTTCTTGGTTCTTTCGGTAAAGTCACGTAGAAGGAAAATAATAAAATAATAAAAATAAAACATAATAAAATATATTATTTTATATAATAATATTATATTATTTATTATTATTTTTTATTTTATTATTTTCCTTCTACGTGACTTTACCGAAAGAACCAAGAAGATTAATCCCTGCAGTCACGAAAGCTTTAAATCGAAATTTATACAGCAAAGGTCCTTGCTTAACGCGTGTTCACACCCACAACGGGTTTTCGCTATGATCGCGGTTCTTCCATTCGGCAACACTGTTTGGACAAGGCACCAGTTAAAACGAGGAACACACACCTCGTTATAGGGCAGTTTTCCATGCGGTCGACAACGAAACTACTTTTTCGAACTGCGCGGTTGAGCGGAATGATACGGAAATGCGGCGGCAGCGTACCCTCAGTTATTTGTCGCGCCACCTTACCGCGCGTTCATTATATACGTGGGGGAATTTTTTTTTGCGCTCAATGCATTTTTCGCTGAACACGGCACTTTTCAGGAAGTGTCCACCGCGTTGTTATTATCATAATCGTACGAAGCATTTCCACGAAGAGCTCGCAGGCGCACAACAGCAGCAACAAAACGAACCTCTGCTGACAGCCGGAGTCTGTGTCCGGTCGCGTAGCACGTTCACCTCGTGCACGGCTCCAAACTGCTCGAACAGTTCACGGAGCTCAGATTCGCCCCACGAGCGAGGGATCTGCCCGACGAACATCTTAATGGCGTCTGGGTCCAGATGGCCCCGTGTTTCCAGGGATCCCCCATTCATCATAACGCTCTTCCTCCAAAACCTTGATTATGCTGCGGGCAAAACAAAGACAAAGATCCGCCGTATAGCATTAACAGACCGTTGGGGCAAGTGCTGTTAGTAAGCACCTATGAAGGCCGGCATGGAACACGAGGGGGTGGGGGGTGGCCAGCACCACGCCCAGCCACCTTTTTCTCCTCAGTGGTTATGTTTACACACCATACCAGGTACTAATTGAGGCCGAGTCGACCTAGGGGAGGCCCATGACCGGTTTAGATAATCGTCACTGGTGTTGACCGTGAGCAGGAATCGAACTCAGGTCGCCTGGTGGGTTAGTAGAGCAGCGTGCTACACTACTGATTATGCTGCGGGCACACACACACACACACACGTGCACACAATAGTTGGAATAACATAAGTCTCCAAATGTTAAAGAAATCGGCACAAATTGCCTCGGAAAATGCAATTAAAATTAATTAATATTCGCAAAAGGACATGGGAAGACTTTCATTCAGCAGTGGAGAAAACATGATTACTGCGACGCTCTATGAAGACACAAAGGCAGAACATCTCGGAAATTAATAACTAAAATAAACCACAAATGTAATTGTTCCTCCATCATGCTCTCTGCATAGCTGTGAGCAAATTTACAATACACAAGGACGACCAATGCATAAAACTACATTTTTACCTTTCCTCAGTGCTAATCCTTCACAGCAGTATACCAGAGACGGGATACAATTATTGCCAAGCTAAATGGGGTTGAGAAGTATTGATCAATTATTTACACGTGACCTATTATCAGTTCATTAAATTAAAGTGCTTCAAATGCAACACTTTGTAGAGCTAAAGGTCTTAATGCTCGTGTGGGCAAGCCACACTCATCAATAAAAGCATTGTGATTAAATGGTTGGCGGTAAAAGGCCTTTACTACTAAGGACAAGCGGGGCACCATGGTAACAAAACATCTTAGCGCTCTCGGTTTATGTTCGCCTGATGAGGTGAGTTGTCATTACCGGCTAAACGTCATACTAGAATTGAAAATGTGGGTTTACTCTCCAGCACACCAATATGCTGAACTAGTAACTAATTGGCATGTTTTGTTTACGTGACAAACCTCACTAATTGGCTGTCGGGCGGTGGCAGTTTTAACGACACATTAATATTTATGCGATCGAACCCAAAAAAACCTATGGATATTGGTCGCGAAAGCCTACGTGTTAAATTGTCTTGGAGAGCCTACAGTTTGTGGAGATGACCAATTTCATAATTATATTCTGGAATTGTGGCCGATTTAGGGGTGGGGTGGGGAGCTAAAGATTTTGCACGCATGCATTGTCGAGTGTATTTAATACACCCCAAAAGAAAGCAACGTTGATACTTTGGATAACTATGGTTACTACGACACCTGTTGCAGAAAAAAATGGACGACTGCTATATAACTCAAAGGCGTGATAAGGCAGCAGTTACAGAGGCAGGGAAAGGTCAGGAAGAAAAGGTCACCCCCCCCCCCCTTGGCATTTGCTCATTGCACATTGGTGGGAAGCATCAAGCCAGCATAAACAGCATCTCATCACTCCAGGGGCAGTGAGTTCATTAACCTCACCAGGGCGACAAGGACTTGCTCAATTTATGGACTTCCGTTCGACGTAAGAGAGAAACAAGGTTTAGAAAAATATTGAAAAGATAAAAAAAGTCGACATGCACATACATTTCCATGCAAAAGTACACATTCTATTACTTTATAATCTACGCTTGGTTTTTTTAAGCACATTTTTACAGCATTAACATATATGGCAACACAATCGTCAACACCATATCTAGTCAATCGCCAAACTACAGTTTTAATACATTATACACCGTATATTGTAATGTCTTACACTGAATAGTACTACAATCGCAAGACATTTTAAAAGTTTTATTGGTCATAAATCAGTGCTGCACTAGAGCAGAATTGTTATTCTCTCCCTAAACCGAATATTTTATCGGCTCCTGACAAGTGTGATCCAAACCAATCCAGAGCGATAATTTGCACAGGCTCACACACACAATAGCCACACAAACCTAAAAACAAGGAGACACACTAGCCAGCATGAGTCACCGCTCCTCCAAATCCTAACCATCCTTCCAGTCTCCCCGCCATGCAGCTAATGCACAACATCATCCCTTAAATGCCCAAGCTGTTACCGTGCAATCATGCCATGCACCCCTACACACCAGCTTCCTTGCACCTCCCACATGGCTAATGCTGGACCCTAACCCCCTGTAACGCATTCATTATGTCATGTGCTCAAGTGTTTGCCCAAATATACATGTAAATAAAAAACTTACCGTGTGGAAATATTCAAAGCATCCCCTATAAGTCAAACTTTTATGTACAAAGGCCTCAATTTTTTTGTAATGTATTTTTGTTTGTGCTTCATTAAAATATTCTTGATTTGAGATAATGGGGGATAAGTCGGTAGAGGTGATTTTGTAAGAGAGTACAATAGAATATATCACATTAATTGGCCTTTCCAAGCACACATTCATCCAGTCCCAAGAGGTTTTACCGTGACAGCTAACCCTGCTGAAGATTTTCCTGGAGCACACTTCCACCACCTGCCACGAATGTGGGCTTAACCACCACATTACCAAACCGACTCCTACCCCACCATTAACACTCGCATGTCCGAAAATCCTTAATAAGGTCCATTAACTTTTTTGACATTTTCTTTGTGGTACTCAAGCTACAATTAAACAATAACAATGTAGGGACAATTGTACGATTGTAATAATCAAAAATAAAGCAGGCTCAAACGGCCAATTTTGCACATTAACCAATACAATTATGTGCCTAAAATTTACAGCCTATAAATGTTTCTGTTTCAGTGGATTAACGTGTGATTTTTTTTTAAGCCTAAGTAAAGCAGAAAACTGAAAAATTACAAAAATACCATCAAATTTGGATACAAATTTACATTAAATAAGGCTGCTCTCTCAACATTGCTACAAATGAAAGTGATAACCAATTAGCTAGAGAAGTTTTATCAACATATTGTCATTTTGGGGCAAATTTCCTTCAATGAACTATAACTTACATGGGTAACGATGATAATATAGCCATAATTGATCACCAAATACATTATCCTTGATGGGAAAAAAAACACCATATCCAGATATATCAGGTTAAATATCACTTTTAAAAAGTAAAAACAGTAATTGTAAAAAGCGTATTCAAGAAATAACACTTCTTACACATCTATCATTTCATTATGAAAATAATAAGACATGGGGGACGAGCTGAAATGTAACTATCTAGGACGTTAAATAAAACCCATTCGATTAGGAAGACATCCAATTCCTATTCATGGCCTTGCACACACATGTGGGAGCAAAAGAGATGGACTAACGTCATATACAGAAAGGGGGGGGGGGCACTTAATGAAAATAGACATAGGTCTAGAAGGAAGTGATTGCCTTAACCAGAGACAGAGGAAGCTTGTCCAGTTCTAACCGTCAGCCGCCATGCGACGACTGAGAAGGTAAAAATTTACCCGTAAAAACAAAGTATTTACGGGTAAATCCTTTATATGCGTGGCGGCTAGAGTCCTCTCGTCCTCTGGCTTGAGATGGCTGCCACCTATGGGTCAGATGATTGCATTGCACCATTAAGCAATTGGTAATTAAATATAATATTTTTGTCCTAAAACGAGTCTGTGTGGAAAATGTCAGCTCGATTGGATCACGGGAAGTGGGTTAAAAAACGACCAAAAGATTTGCACGGTCCTAAGCAAGCAAGCTTAATATAAAGGATTTAAAAAGAGGAATAAGCAGAAAAGGTGCTCCATTAATTAAGACAGTTGGGATCCACATTCTGAGCCAAAGCATGGGCAGTAAAGGGTGAGACAAAATGTCACTTCCTGAACGATAAGCCAAGAGTACCATCCCATCTAATAAAATATTCAAAAGGTAAAGAGTTAGTTGCGCTCAATCAATTCATCACCTATCACGAGCAATTGAAAAACATTAATAAAAAAAGTCAGATTGACAAGTAATCTTGTATTGCTTTTTATAAGCCTCAGCTTACTAGAGAAGTTGTAAAATATTTGCACTCATGCACTTCCACAATCTACGCCTGAGTGAATGGAACTGGCACGAGAGCCCACTTTAAAATGTCTTTGAGTAAAATATAATAAAAATAACAATAGTTGACACTTCTAAAGCACCTTTCACTGGGAGGTCACAAGGCTAACATTCAGTCAACACCCAGGAATCACAATGTACTCGAAGACTTTGGAGTATGTAATGATGGGGGGGGGGGGGCACTGCAGCTTTTGCGAGTAATTATGCTTCATGTTGCTTTTTTCAAACAATCCAATCCAAGATTTGTAACGCGCCGTATTCATCATCAATCTGAGACGGAAGCACGGACGGCAGAGAATACATGGGCTGTAAAACAAATGGGATATAAAACTTACCAGTCGCACAAACGTATACATTTATACCCAAAACTTCTTAAAAAATTAGACTGCAGAGTAGAAACAAAGCCAATTACACAAATTTCTGTGGGGTTAGTTGGACAAAAGACATGCAAAAGGCCTATTAAATCCGACACATGGTTCTTCAAACATATTGCAATCACATGCTGTAAACATAGAAATGGCCAGCCTGAGTGCGCTGCATGCCAATACTCGGTATCAGACTACTAAGCAGTCATCTCTGGGGTCCTGGGTTCAAATATGGCTTGACGAGTAATGACTGGAATTTGTTCTGCACTAGTGGTGCTGAAAACTCATGTGTCAAAGGTGAGGATAGGAGGAATGAAACTTGCGACAGGATGAGGTAAGATCTGCACAGCTCAGTAATGTTTTAAGTGGTGCTACACACGTAATAGTAATTGTGTGCATGTATGTTGAACTTCCTTCGCACAGTGCATAGCCAAACCATCCAAATCGGAGGTTTGGAGGAAGGGCAACGAACTAAGCACACAAAAAACGGATCTAAAGAAATTATCTTTCAATCCAGATTTTACTGGTAGGAACCTCCTGGTTACACCAGCCCACAGGGGATT